GGCTTCCCATTGCCTGCAGGATAAATCCAAATTGATGAACAAGGCACACTAGGCCCTCCATGCCTTGGCCTTTGACTGTTATTTTGGATCCATGTTTTGCTTCTCCTGAAGGAGTCCTGGTGGTGCAGTGCTTAAAGCACTCTGCTGCCAACCAAAAGGTTGGCGATTGGAACTCACTAGCCTCTCCATCAGAGAAAGATGTGGCAGTCTGCTTCTGTAAATGTTACAGCCTTGGAAAGCCTATGGGGTAGTTCTCCTCTGTCCTGTGGGTCACTGAGTCAGAATCGATTTGACAGCATTGAGTTTGGGTTTGATTTTGCTACTCCTTCCACCTTGAATCTTGAGTTACTCTTATCATTATGGGGGTCCTCTATCCCTACGCCTTTTTAATTTCTATGCTTTGCTTTACCTTGTGTCTTGGGCCTGCAGTACCCCCTGGTTAACCATTCTCTAGAGCAGTGGTGATTCAGTGGTAGAATTCTTGTCTTCCATGCAGAAGACCTGGCTTTGATTCCCAGCCAGTGCACTTAAGCACAGCCATCACCTGTCTTGTCAGTGGAGGTTTGCGAGTTGCTATGATGTTGAACAGACTAAGGGACTAAAAAGAAAGGCCTGGTAATCTACTTCTGAAGATCAGCCAGTGAAATCAGGTATGAATCACAATGGTCTGATCTGGCAACACATCATGGAAATAGTGCAGGACCAGCCAGTGTTTGATTCCATTGTGTATGGGGTTGCCATGAGTCTAGGCCAACACCATGGTAGCGAACAAGAACAACAACTTTTTCTCAGCACAGGTAACATTTGTAGGAAGCTGGCCCTGCCCTCCCCAGGAGGCATGGTTCAGGGCTTCCTCCTCTAGTGCTCTGTAATAGCCTATGCATTTCTCTATGTCTGAATTGGGCTAATTGAAAGAAAGGTTAGCAGTTTGAACCCTTACGCCGTTCCAAAAAGACAGTCTGCTTCTGTCTAGATTACAGCCTTGGAAATCCTACAGGGCAGTTCTGCTCTGTCTTACATAGGTCACTATGAGTTGGAATCTACTTGATGACAGCCCCCCCAGTACAGTGCTTTATAACTTGTATAACTGTTTGACATAGCTCTGTTCTACTCACAAGACTACAAGTTCTTTGAGAAAAAGGTCTATATTTTACTTACCTTTGTACCTCCAGCACTTTGCATAACATCTGGTACCGGAACAACCATTGTTTTTTGAATGAATGAATAATTAGATATTTTATAAGATTGAAAAAATGCAAAGTTACAGGGAGGTTATAACGTAAGACTGACTGTAAGTAATGGTTTTCCCATTATAAAGAGGGGGGAGCTTTGGTAGCATAGTGGCTAAGACACTTGCCTGCTAACCAGACAGCCACTCCTCGGAAGGAAGGTTGGGCAGTCCTACTTCCGTAGTGATACTGCCTCGGAAACCCAAGGAGGGGTCGCTATGAGTCGGGGCCGACTCGACGGCACATAACAACAAACAACAACAACATTATAAAGAGGCTTAGATTTATAGTGTAACTTTAAATATATAAGTAATTTTTAATTTTTTTTGTAAAAATAAGTTGCTCTATTTGGTAGTGTTTAGTTAAGGGAAAATTAGTTTTAACTCTATGATGAAAGAGAAGTTCTTATTTTTTTTTCATAAGCTTATGGCCTGCTTATTCTGAGACTTAATACAGTTTGTGCTTAATACAATTCTTTGGAAATCCTAAAGAGGGCCTCTTGATAAAGTGCGTGCATCCTGCTGTGTTCTTAATTTGTGGGACTAGGTATGCTGTATCTGGTTGGTTTTAGCAGAGATACTCTGCTAATCATTAAAATGATAGTGATTTCTTAGAGGTGGGAGGTGGGAGAGAGAGGACAGTCTCCTGTAGAAATGGGATTATTACCCCTGAGGCAAGTGCCTCCTCACAGTTCAGCTAACTCCCTGAGCAGATCACAGCCTCTGTACTCTTTCCAGAGTCCCTGGGTGGGGCAAATGGTTAACATATTTGGCTGCTAACCAGAAGGTTTAATGTTCAGATCCACCCAGAGGTATCTTGAAAGAAAGGCCTGGCCATCTACGTCTGAAAAAATCAGCCACTGAAAACTCTGTGGAACACAGTTCTACTCTGACACATGGGATCGCCTTGAGTCAGAATTGATTCAAAAGCAACTGGTGAATGTCCTTCTGCTTAGAGTCAGTGCCAGTGCGAAGCATTTTTCATGAGATATCATCTGTCATACTTTGAGCATACGTGGGGCCATACTTGTTCTCAGCGTTTATTCACTTAGGTTCTTTTTCTGTGCCGGTCCTGTGAAATCAAAGGGTATGGAATACTCATACCAGGTATATAAACATCATGATCTTTACCTTGAAGGAAAAAACTCCATCCTTTTAGATGGCTTGCAAACATAGAAATGGTGTTTAGAGAGTATTGGCACACTCTGTCATTTATTTCCTCTCCTAACAAGGTTGGTGCCTGTATGAACCCACTTGGAACCACTTTTGCCTATTGATTAAAGTTTGGAGTTCATTTTTTCTGAGTTAGATGGCTATCTGAGAAAGCTCATGTGACTTCTTTTTTGTCATTAATATTCCTGTGGTTTTTCCATCCGTAAAATGAGGTAGTAGGCAATCTCGGGTTGTTTCCAGCTTTTAAAATTTATAGTTTGTCTTCCTTGATTCATTTTCAAATTCTTAAATCATTACTCTTATATTTGTGTCAACAGAATAGGCAATCAGCCTCTGGCTTCCACAGCCAAATGGCAGCCTTTATTGGAAAAATACATATGTTGGAAGGAAAGCTTTTGATTGCCATAAAATAAACAACAACCGTTTTCAAGGCCAATGGAATGATGAGAAAGTATTAAATTCTGCCAATATAGCTGCTGCAACCTGAAACAGCATCAGTACAAAGGATATTTATCCATTGGGTTTCAGAATAATAATTCAAATGCTCAAGAGCCTCATCTTGTGATATTATTACAGGAATGTCCAGACAGTGTTTTCTTTAATTCCAGGAAGAGCGATTTAGGAGGATCCTGCCACATGTGTCCAGCTGCATGTTTAATACTCTTGGAAGAAAATGATTCTATAAACAGAAACAACCCAGTATGGATACTTGAAAGATGTTCATTTGTTTGCTTATATTTGTCAGGACCTTGTATACACGAGAATACAAAATTAACAAACACTATCAATTATGCTATGCTAAAGGTGGTGCAATGGTTAAGTGTTTGACTGCTGACCAAAAGGTTGGTAGTTCAAACTCACCAGCCGCTCCACAGGAAAAAGATGTGTGACAATCTGCTTCCATAAGGATTTACAGTCTTAGAAGCTGTAGAGTGATTCTGCTCTGCCATAGAGTTTCTATGAGTCAGAATTGGCTCAATGGCAATGGGCAATGAGGTTTATAACTCAAAAACCAAAAACCACACTCACTGCCATAAAGTTGATTTGACTCATAGCAACCCCACCTTGGGTTTCCAAGGCAGTATCTCTATGGATGTAGATTGCCCAACCTTCTTTCCGAGGGAAGAGTGGCTGGTGGGTTTGAAACCTTCCTTCTGGTTAGCAGTCAAATGCCTTAGGCACTACGCCACCAGAGCTCCCAAGTAGCAGTATTTTATTTGCATCATATGGTATAATTCTGGTTCAATCTTAAATGGTCTTAAAGCAAAACAAAAGTATACCTGTTGCTATTGAGTCAACTCATGGTGACCCTATGTTTCAGAGTGGAACTGCTCCATAGGGTTTTCTTGGCTATAATCTTTACAGAAACAGATAGTCAGGCCTTTTTTCCATGGAGCCACTGGGTGAGTTTGAACCACCAACCTTCAGGTTTGGGACCTTTAATGTTCTTCAATCACTGAAAATTCAACAAGGTTTAAAGTTTGTGAAACATTGCTCAGCTGCATAGCAAATTGATTTATGTATTTCACAACATATAAAACTTTTCACTTTTAGTAAATTCAGTATTACCCTTTAAGAAAATAAAGTCTTTTGAATGCCCTGGAGGCATTTCTCTGCATCAACTATTGCCATAGTTAACTTTCTCTCTGGAGTAATTTAACATTTTTATATGAGGATGGTCATATGATGAGGAGGGATGAAAAACACCCTCTTACTCCCCTCCTCCCCCACTCTGCCCCTTTCTGCTCATGCACACTGTATACTCATCCTGGAAAAATGCAGCAGGACTGTGAAACTGCCATGGCGCAGAAACGCATTCTTACTCCTCTTTGAAAAGCACTAGATGTCATTGATTGAAGTCACTTCATTTCCAATGGTGTAATAATCTGTGTTCTAGAGAAGCGAGGCTTTCCCTTTATCGTGTTCTCTTGATACCTGGACAGCTGTAGAATTATTTTATAATGTGGGAAGAATGGCCTGCCCTGAGAGACATTTGGCAGTTTCTTTTGTGCTGGGGCACACTGTACTTCCCAGTGCAATCTCAAGGTTAAGGGTAATGCTGTTGGCAGCAAGTCTCAGATTTACCATTTGGATAGCCCTCCCTTTTGCTGATGTGGTTTCTTACTCTTCAAATTTATGAATCATAAAGGGATGCTCATGGAAAATCTTTTTATAGAAACAGACATTGTTTCTAGTCCCTGCCTTTCTATTTTGGGGGCCCGGAGAAAGGAACGATTTAAGGCTCTGTCACGCTTTTAAAGCACACACAGAGCCCAAAGGATAGCAGCTATGATGAGAAGCTCATACTTGTATACGAAACTGAGATAGCTTTATTTGACACAGTCAACAATAATTGAGACTTTTAAAGAAGTGGAATGCTTTCAAACACAAAACTGCCCCAACTAATAAAAGAAATGTATCATTGAAAATTATGACTATATAAAATGTGAGTTTAAATTATTCACCCAGAGGACAGAGCTATCCTTTGGCTAAAGATGACACTAACTGACGCAGTACAGTTAATTAATGCCTTTGTATATACTGTGTTCACAATGCTCACTGGGATCTGTGTTGTTTTTTTTTCTTTTTTGATAGGTTGTTGAAAAGCCAGGTGTCAACATGACTGAGCGCTTTGACTGCCACCATTGTAATGAGTCTCTTTTTGGCAAGAAATATATTTTGAAGGAGGAGAGCCCCTACTGTGTGGAGTGCTTTGAGACCCTCTACGCTAACAACTGCGAGGAGTGCAAGAAGCCTATTGGCTGTGATTGCAAGGTACCTGGCCTGGATTTAGGGGTCGGCATCTGAACAGGGTTAGCTTGTTAGAGTAACTCTGCTGGATCTGTCTGCCCTCCTAAGTACCATGGGCTTCTTCACGTTGTTTGACCTGATACCCTAACCCTTATCACCTTTCAAAGCCTCCTCAGACTGGCTGAAACCCTTAAAGAATCCTCAAGCGTTTTTCCTCAAGCTGATTGGCTCTCTTCCCACTCTTCTCTTTGGGTTTCTGGGGTGGTATCACTACAGAAGTAGATTGCCCAGTCTTCCTTCCGAGGAGTAGCTGGTGGGCTTGAATCACCAGCCTTCTGGTTAGCAGTCTGATGCCTTAGGCACTACACCACCAGAACTGCTCCCCTTACTTCCATAGCTCTTGGATATGCCTTTTCAAGACATTTGCATTTAGTGTCCCAATCACATTTCTTTTTTTTTTTTTGCCTTTTCATTTAACAATTCATACACATTTTGTTTTTCTGACATTGATTGCAATGCCCACAATGTAACAACACTCCTCTTACCTCCTCCCAGTGTTTCTCATTTTCATTCCTCCTTTCCTAACCCTTCCTGCTTTCTGAACTTTGTCCTTGGTCAAATGCTGCCCTTTTGATCTCAAATGGTTGATTGCTCTAAGGAATTTGTACCTCCCTGGTGTTATTGTTCACTTTGTAGTCCTGTCTGTTGTTTGGCTGAAAATTCATGCATGGAGGTAAGTTCATTCCCAGGTCCAAGAGGTGACTAGGGGCGATAGTCTTGGAGGTTCCACCAGTCTCTATCCAACCAGTAAGGCTGGTCTTGTTTTATAATTTTGAGTTTAGTTCCACATTTCTCTCCCACTCTATCCAAACACATTTCTAGTGTTCTCGATATTAGTGTCCTCCTCCAGGCACCCCACCTGTTAAGGACAAGGGTCTGTTTGCCTTGTGGTGACTAACATGTAGCATGTGCTGCTCAGTAAATATTTGCTGGGTGAATGTGTAAGTGAATGGGAGCAGGTTCCTAGAAAATGGGCACATAAATGCACTAAATTCCTTAGCATTTCATGGGCTTTTTTAGTGGGCTTTTTTATTGGTTAGTCTTTTTGATTTTTGTTTTTAATGGGGTAAAGGATCATGTAGAAGGAATGAATAGCTCTTGGATGACCAAGCGTGGTTCCACAGAGGCCACTGGTCATTTGTGCTGACTGACTTGTCGTTGACTGTGTGGACCCTGCTTTATACTTTGCAGCACATTCTTAGTCAAACCTGGACAACTGAAGAATGCCCCTGGTGTCCTTAGTATTGACTAAGATCTCAGATATCTTCACCTGCCAAACAGCAGCTAAAACACTTTGGACAAGCACTTTAAGGATTGTTACCCTGAGAGCCACAGAATTAATTGTAAAATGGGGCTATTTTGGAACCTCTTAGGACTCCCAGTTTAGTGGATTCCACACCAACTCATGGCATTCGAGCATCTCTTTTCTGATGCCATTGCTTTGTACTTGTTCAGGATTTCTGTCACTCTTCTCAGTGGTTGTGTCAGTACATGATTGTAGATCTGAATGAGTTAGTCTGTGCCTGCAATTGGATAATCCCAGCGTCCAGTCCAATTTCTTATATTTATTCTGTCACATAGTTGTAGGAAAGAAAATAGTCAGAAGCTGCAACATCAGTTTCTGTTGCTAGGTATTTAGAGACAATAGAAAGATGATTTCCATCTTGTGTAGGAAGAGGCCTTTGCCCTGAAAGGAGATGAAGGCTGTGCCACACAGGCTACTTGAAACTAGACTGCAACAGTGTATCTTTTGGCTTCAGAACAGAAGTGGCTTGCCAAGAGTAAAAGAATGAGAGTTAACCATGGTACTGTGTAAACTTTAAAACAGTTCAGAGGTTTGGCTATATGGAACGAAAATTAGCTGATCTTGTCTAAAAGTTGAATATCTTTCTGTCTCTACCTTGCCCTTATATATATCTTATTGTTCCTAATGTACATTCTTAGTCTCTATTCCATTTATGTAATAGGTTAAGCATATAAATTCAGACAGCAGACTGCCTGGTTCAGATCCAGCCTCTAGGTTTTTCTGCTCTGTAAACTTGGGCCAGTTACTTGACCTCTCTGTGCCCAACTCCACATCTATAAAACAAAGATAATATGGGTGCCTACTTCATAGGATTATTATACGTAGATACAGAGCCCTTAGCACTCAAAATAACAGCTGATATTGTTAGACTCCACATTTTTACTTTTCTTCTGAGTACTTCCCCATTCTTTCTTCAAAACGTTCCCTCCACATACCTCTTCCCATAAGCCTCACCTTCTCTATTACTTCCCATTGTAGAAACATCAATAAAAATACCCAGTTTGAGGAAAAACTAATGGACACCAAAACAACCAAACCAAACTCCCTGCCATTGAGTCGGATCTGACTCACAGCGACTCTTTGGGTTTCTGAGGCGTTATCACTACGGAAGTAAATTGCCCAACCTTCCTTCCGAGGAGTGGCTGGTGGGTTTGAACTGCCAGCCTTCTCGTTAGCAGTTAAATGCCTTAGGCACTACACCAGCAGAGCTCCCATGGACACAGAAAAACATAATTAATTTATAACAGCTTTACCTGGAAAGAGAGGCCCCAGGTGGCACATATATTTAAGTCTTTGGCTACTAACTGGAAGATTAGTAGTTTGAATCTACCCACAGGCTCCTAGGAAAAAATGTCTAGCCATATACTTCCAAAAAATTAATCATTGAAAATGCTAAGGGAGACAGTTTACTTTGACACACACAGGGTACTGACTTGATGGCAATTATTATTTTTTTTGTTGTTGTTGTTTGAAAAAAATATTCAAGTAGATGAGAGGTTCAATGTTATTGTGACAAAGAACAAATTCTGTTTAAATGAAAAGCTTTGGTATCTAGAGCTAGTCATTCTTTACCAGTGGCTGAAGTTAAAAAAAAAAAACCTAAAATCATTTTATTTCTCAGTGATTTAGTGGGAAAGACCCTTTAAGCAAGTTATCCTTTGGCAGATACTTGATGAGCAAATAAACAAGAATCCCCCAAAATAGGCCAAAATCAACAAGGCTGCTGCAGAGTCAGGAGTTAATCATGCTGAACTTTTCAACCCAGCTTAACGGTTTATGATATGTGGGCTTATGCCATGTGATTTTCTATTCTTTAAAAGAAGAAGAGATGGTGAGTTGAAGTTAGATTTTACCATTTGGGGCTTTTGAGTATTTGGGGTGGTTTTCATGACTTTAAAGAATAATTCTGTAGTTGACTTTGGGGAGAAAGCAATAATAGGAGAAAATGTTCCTGTTATTTCAGGAAGTGAAGTGAGAAGTCCTGGCAGACAGTGAGTGCGCTTGGTAGAGCAACTGAGCTGGCCAATCTGGTTGCCATTCTCATTTCTTAAAATAGCACAGTCACTGTGAGCCCTACTAAACTTTCTTTCTCCCTGAAGGATATGTGTATATTCAATTTAAAAGTATTGATAAGCCTATGGGAATTAGGCTGACTTCTGAGGGTATCGACTGGCTGTTATATGAGACAGACAAGACTTCAGAACCTGTTGTTTCCATAGTTGGCTTATATATGTTAGAGTACTGTTTCTATAAAATCACTCTGTTAGACCCGTTATTTCTGTTAAGTTACTCTGAGAAAATACAGTGATCTCAAAAGGTAGAAATTGTTACCTTTTATGGCTATGGAATAGTTGAAAACAGGTAATACAAATAAAATTTTATGATATTCTGATATTACACTGTTCCTAAAATTTTTCTTGGACATCTGTTGATACTAGCAAAATATTTTTTTAGACTGATTATGGATGTTGTACTGGTTGGGTCTACCTAAACTATGGGTCTCAGAAATCTAAGACAGTAAAGACAGATTGGCCAGTAACTCCAAAGATGACTATTAATACTATGCATTTAGCAAATCAGTGACTTTAACAAACTCTGGGCCACATGGAGCAGCCCCTGGTGGTGTGAAAAATTAAGCACTCCATTTCTAACAAAAGGTTGGTGGTTTGAACCAGCAGAGGCACTTCAGAAGAAAGCCCTGATAACCTTCTTCCAAAAGGTCACAGCCTTAAAAATCCTTTGGAGCAGTTCTACTCAGCATACATAGGATCATTGTGAGTCAGAATAGACCTGATGGCAGCTGATTTTTTTGAGGAGGAAGGGGTGTAAAAATTGGGGTCAGGAGAGCGTCTGACCTCCTCTAGCTTCACAAAGGAGAAGGAGAATCACCATCAACATCAGTCCAAGGTTGATTCCTGTGAGGTGGAAGTCAGACATTCTTCTCCTCTCCAACCTTTTCAACCATTCTGATACCAGCTGTCCTTCCCATAGCATTCTATACTTCTTTACTGGGTTCGGTAATTCATTGCAGTGGCCACACAGGAATCACAGACAATACTCATTATTGTGGGGTGTATTATGGAAGTAAGATTACAATTCAGGATCAGGAACCACTCAAGATATGTTCTTCAGTAAGGACAGCTTCCCAGCCATGCCTACAGGCAGGTCTGTGTCTCTCTCTTCTCTCTCTGTCTCAGCCCCTCAGTCTTGCCTCTGCCCTGTTCGGGCAAGTATTACAGAGCTCTTTAGCTCTGCCAATAAGTGCCTGGAGGAATCCTATTATACCAGCAAACCTTGGCCCAAGGGCATTCAGCACTCTTGCTCCAAGAGTCAGCAAGTCTAGCTCTGTTGACAAGTGCCTATGGGCACACCATTCCGCCAGCAAGGCTCCTGCCTGAAGGTACCCAGCTCTCTCTCTCTCCATGGATTGGTTCACCCACTGTAGCCACTTTGCTTCATGGACTGGGAAGCCCACCACACTGTCTTGCACTGGTCTTCTGGCACCATTTCTCTGCCATTACTTCTTTCCATCTTGCACCCTCTCTACTGTCACAGCTCTTTTTCTCTGTCTCCTGGGTCTAGGAGGCTCTCAGCTTAGGGACTGTGGGTCCAAAGGACACACTTCTCTCCCAGCTCTTCTTTCTTGGTAGTAGTGAGG